GCATGCTTGGTTTTGGCCTTCCCTGCTTGCTTGCGTGGTTCCTCATTTGCGCTGTTGCCATCCTCTCGCTCTGCCTGCTCATCACGCGTAGGCTGCTCCTTGTTGCGCTTGTCGTCCTCGGCTTTTGCCTTCCTTGCTCGCTTGGGTTTCGGGGGCTCCTCAGTCTTCAACTTGTCGTCCTCACTCTTTGTCTCCTTGACGCGCGTAGGCTGCCCGTTGTCATCCGTCGGTTTCCTTGCGTTCCTCGGCTTCCTTGGTTTCTCAACCTTGTTCTCCTTGTCCTCCTCTGTTGCGGCCTTCCTTGTCTGCTTTGGTTTGCTCTCACTTGCTGTTGCCGGCGCATCCTGGTCACCCATTTGGTCCGCGTTGCCTTTGCTTTTGTGGGCGCGGGGCTTGGGGTCGGTTTCTCCTTTCTTGGCCGCCGGTTTGCGCCCACGCTTCTTAGGCTCTGTCCCATCCGCTGCATTTTGGGCAGCCGGTGTGATTGGCTCGGTTGTGTGCCACAGGTCGGGGAGGTCGCCCAAATCCAAGTCGAGGTGCGCAGGTGTGTGTTCATCCTTTGTGTTAGTGTAGGGTGTAGCTGCAGCCTTGGCCGCCGAGTTTCGTAGGCTTTGTTCATCATTTTGGTCTGTATCCGTTGCCTTCTGCGCTGGCACTTCATCGCAGTTGTGGCGGCTCTGTTCTGTTTCCGTTCCCTCCTTTGCTGGCGCCTCATCGCGGTTGCGGAGGTCTGTTTCCGTTCCCTCCTTTGCTGGCGCCTCATTGCAGTTGTGGAGGTCTGTTTCCGTTCTCTCCTTTGCTGGCGCCTCATCGCAGTTGTGGAGTCCCTTTTCATCTTCTGTTTCCGTTCCCTCCTTTGCTGGCGCCTCATCGCAGTTGTGGAGGTGTTCTGTTTCCGTTCTCTCCTTTGCTCGCGCCTCATCGCAGTTGTGGAGTCCCCATTCATCGTGCAATTGTTCTGATTCTGCTAGCGTGTGCAATGGTGCCTGCTTGGACTGGGCGCTGGTTGTGGGTTGCTTCTGCAGGGTTGTTGGGCTGTTGTTCTCTTTGTCTGGCTGATGTTGGCTCTGTTTGTTGTCCGGGACAGACCCTGATGGAAGGCCCATGCTGGCACAGGACCAGCAGGCCTCGTTCTCCTTGCAAAGCTTGCACTCCCACTTTTGTGGGCGATTTACCTCATGCATCAGGTCGTCGTCCAATCGTAGCGTTTTTTGGCGGAGCAAATCATCACAGGACCGGGCTGGGGAAAAAGCAGGCTCTGTCGTGGGGCTGGCAGCAGCGCTGTCCACCCACGTGGGCAACGTCTCGAAGTTGTCACAGCCTTAAAAAGTCGATTGAAATAAAGACCTCCACACATGCTCATGCATGAAATTGCTGCCCAAACGCACACGGAGTCAGCTGTGAAGGGCCGCAAGCGTTGACGTGAAACTTGCAACTCCGCCAGCTTCTTCTGAACTTCCACAAGCCGTTTTTGCTGCAATAGCATCTGGAGTTGATCCTTTTTGAATTGCACCTAGCCGGGCATTTTTTAGTGTCATGCCCTCGAAACCAAAGCCCCATGTGTCGCAGGCACCCCTGTTTCAACAGGCCTCGCGGGCATCGGGGCAAGCTGTCTTAGGAGGTGTTTCCAGCGGACCTTTGCATCGCAGGGCAGTTTCAACAAAACTTCGCCACGCTGAGGCCAAAACCGGAAACGCTCCGCGTGCGGCTTTGCTCATCCTCCTGACGGGGGAGGCAAGGCGTCAAAGGGTGGGAGCAGGCACGAAGTGGCTGGTGAACGAAGTGGCCTGTAGCTTGCAGCTTGCTCCATGATCGAGGATATATTTGGCTCATAAAGCAAACTCACCCCAGCCGGACAAAAAAGTCAATCTCCAGGCCTTCCCTTTTGCGAGGGTAGGCTCAGTAGCACAGACCTGAGAACATTCACTTGAACCTTCGGCCAAACACCAAAATCTGTACCAGCTACCGCATGCTTGGGCTCTAGGCTTTTTCCATAGTCTGGGCAGGCTCCGCAGCAGAAACCTAAGAGCAACTGGCTTGCTCCGCTTGACAGCCAAGATTGTTTGAGCTGCTGGCCAAACCATCATGAGTTCTTGGACGGATCACCGATTCCTCAAGAATGGGCAAGCCAAAGATCCAAGCAATCGATACTTAACCTTACCCGAACGGTGATTGAGCTCCGATCCTTTCCCAAAGTGAGGGCAGGCTCCACAGCAAAGGCCTAAGAAATGTTCGAGTTGCTGGCCAAACCATCATGACTTGGACGGATCCCTGGTTTTGCAACCGCGCTTGAGGTCCAGGCCTTTTCCATAGTGAGGGCAGGCTCTGCAGCAGATGCCTGACACGTTGGATTGACTCGAGCGCTTGCAGCCAAGCCAAACCATCACGAGTGGGTGAGCAAATCACCGGTTGCTCAAAGATGGGGCGAACCAAAGATCCAAGCAATCGATACTTGAACTTGCCCCCAAGGACGCTTGAGCTCCAGGCCTTTTCCAATGTGAGGGCAGTCTCAGCAGCAAGGGCCTAAGAAATTAGTCGGCTTGGCACGACTGCTTAACAGCCAAGTTTGTTTGAGTTGGGAAATTCATTTTGCGTGCTGGATGGATCAATCACCTGCTTGTCAAGGCTGAGGCAAACCAAAAGCCAAAAAAGGGTCACTAGGCATGCTTGAGTTCCAGGCCTTTTCCGTAGTGAGGGCAGGCTCAGCAGCGCAGGCCTAAGAAATCAATCGGCTCGGCCCTACCGTGACAAACAGTTCGTTTGAGTCGCTGGCCAAACCATCCTGAGTTCTTGGACGGATCACCAGTTCCTCAAAGATGGGGCTAAACAAATCAAACATGGAGATTCCCGGCCTTCACAGCCTTGTCAGGCTCCTGCGTCTGCGTGATGGAAGCCTGAAGGCGCCCATCAAGTGAGTTTGGGAAGGTGGGCGGCTGGGGTCCAAACGATGGGCGTCTGCTCCAGAGAGAGGTTGTCACAGGGAGTATCTGGGGATACCTGAGGTCCCATTGCGCAATGTGAAAAAATGTGTTTTTTCCTGCCTTCTTGGCTGCATCAATGTTCTCGGCTGCCGGATCGCTCAGCTTCGTTGATGCCTAAGAAAACGCAGAGCATATATGATGGAAGGGCAAATGTCGTCAAGTCTGTGGGCAGGGCCGTTTCTTGATGAGATACCAACCCAACCACCTGCATGCAGGCAGCATTGATCCCTAAATGCAACCAGCCAGCGGCGCCGGGCCTTGTGCGTGTTCTCCAGGGCTTTTGCTTTTCCGTGGTCCTGTCAAAGACAGGGGGGCCAAAAGCTACTCCAAGAAAGGGGCTAAACATGCCAGCAGTTCTTGCGCAAATGAAACGGCGAGTTTCTCCTGGGTCTCTTTGAATGTGCCTAGGCCAGTGCGAGGTGAAAGTTCAAGGACCTTTTCACAAGAAAAGAAGGTATCAACCATATGTTGGCAACCTGGCCTGCTTGCTCTTCTTGTTCAGCATCCTGGTTTTCTTCACCGCCCACTTCTGACCCCTCAGCATCGGATGGCGAGTTCTCATCATCAGACCCACTTGAAGAGCCATCGCTTTCCTCTGAAGCCTTGCTTGATGAAGGAAGCTGAATGTCAAGGTCTTGAATCAAACGTCTCAAGGGCGTCTCTCTGGGCATATGAGGGCGGGAGCATATGGTGTTAAAGATAGACATACACCGTCTCAATGTCCAACTTTGCATGTGAATGCTTGCTCCTTGGGTGTGGCAAATGTCGAAAACGAATCGGCAAATGCGATGTTTCTCATTTGCACCTTGAAACCGCAAGAGGCTAGCCACAAAAGATACACTATAATGACGGCAAGTGTCCGCCAACTTGCAGGCCGACAAGGTTGTAAAGGCTCGTCAAGTGGGTGTCCAGGGTTTCCACAGAGACTCGTGGGCCGAGGTGTCGATAACTCAAAAGCAACACGCGCTCGTTTTGGCAGACGGTGTCCCTGCAAACCGACGATCCTGTTTCCACCACCTTGGCTGATAGTTACGGTTAACTCAAGCTGACATGTGGGTCGAGTGAAAAAGTTGAACCAAGTGGCAGCCTGCATACTGAAAGCTCTGCGGCGGATAAGAGCGTCGCTTTCCCATTCACGGGCAAGGGCAGTTGCGTTTCGTGCCATGGCACACAAGCTAGTGCTAGGGTGAGCCAGATCAGCTACAAATCACACGTTCCACTCTTTCACCGGCAGCAGTCAAGGGAAGTAAGCGCGTGCCCTGGACATATGCCCCCCTACGAAAGGTGAACCAATTCGGGGCACGAAACCAAAGGGCATGCGCTTATTTCCTATTAAGACCTGAACCCAAACGCCCTGGCCCGCCTTCGTCACGTGCGCCTGTGAGGCGCCCGTCATCCAGCCTGGCACGGTGGCTTTGATGCCCGGCTGCACTCTGCGCCGAGAAGCCAACAACCGATCGATTGCTTTGTTTTCGGCCCCAATGTATCTTCACACCCTAGCTAAACATATCTCTCGAGCCCGTGAGGGAAACTACTTTGGATGCATCGATGGGCAGGTGGCAATAGTTCTTGACAGGAGGGCCCCGCCTTAAAGACAATCTGCCAGCAAAGAGCAGCCCATCGCCTCACGTGTGCCGGCACGAGGAAACCCGGGTCTTCGTGGCGGACAACTGCGATGCGATGCTGCGATGCCCCTGCCTGTATGACTCCCTCCATGTATCCAGATGAGCCCAAAATGTGCTGCGACGCCCCCAGAAAACCTGCAACATCCCTCAAGTGGTTTCCAGTCTCGAATCTAAGCCAAACACAGGTTCTCAGTAATTCTAGGCGAGTTTGTCGGACCTGGCCAAAACTAGTCGAGTATAGTCAAAAAACAAAACTACAAAGAATCCTTTGCTGTTTGAGGGTCCAGGCCATTATAATTGTACAACAGAGGGGTGGACTCGTTTTTTTAGTTAAGGAGAGGATGTAGCCCGATGTACCAACCAAAAAAGGATGACCTTTCCTTCCCATGGCCAGGAGTGCCTCGCTTTTTGGATCTGCTCCGCAACTCGGTGAGTCAGGCCAGCCGACCATGGTTCTCACAGTCTACTGAAGCAGTTGTTGATTTGGAGAGGACACATGGGGGCCGACCCAATCTCCGGTTTTCTCAAAAAGGAGGGAGGGACTGCCCAATTGACACAACTGTCAGTAATCAGTAAGATGTCCGTGCTTGTGTGTGTCTTTGTTAGGTCACCCTTGGGAGTAAATATCTGCCCTGGCAAAAAAAAGAAAAAAGCTGAAGTCAGAGACGCCTCTAGCTGCTCCCACCTGGTTTCCCGCTCAAGTTTCGCGGGCCAAGAAGAACACATGACCACTCGCGGGGTGGGAACTGTGTACATGTTGTCCAGTACGGTGGTCCAAGAACCAATCCTGGAAGTCAGCCATGGGGCTTTGGTGATCTTTCAGTTGCTGATTTTTGCAAGACATGCCTAGCCAAGCCTTGCTTTTGTAGGTTCAGAAGAAGCTGTGTTTTGGGGCAGAAAACCCACATTTTTATGAGGGTCTTTATCGCTGTCCAAGTTTTTCCTGGTTGCCATTTTGCCCTTTCATGTTTTCTTGCAAGTAAAATTGCCACTTTCTGCAGGGAGGCGCCTGCCAAAAGCGAATTGAATGCCTTCGCGGACTTCTATCTGTTCCTGCCGGGTTCTGTGCAGCTGTGATTATCTTGCCAGTGGCTAGCTTGGGGCTAAAAGCGCAAGATTCTTTTCTTCAGGATGTCCGATTTTTCCAGGCTTTGAAGATTAATTTTTCGTTGAACTTGCAGAAGGATGCGACACACACGGCCAGTCCAACCGGAGCGATTGGACCTTAGGTCCATTGCCACGCCCCTGAGAGCCGCATGCTGGTGGCCGGGGGTCTTGGAGAGGAAAAGGGTCTTTTGGGTTGGTGCCTTAGGGAAACCAACAGGGGAACCCTCCCAGTTTTTTCCGGGGGGGTCCCCAAAAAAAAAAGCCACGTGAAGAGGAGAACCCTTGTTGTTGATGCTCCAGCCCATAGATGAGGATTATAGAGGTGAAACTGAAGTTTGATCAATTAATCAATAAGCGTTTTTGGGGGGTCCCCGTAAAACACCACCTGTTGCCGTTTTCGTCTTCGGGATTGGAACGTCAAGCCGGGGGTCTCCGCCAAAGTCTGTAGAGTGTCTTGTCTTGGTGCCTTTGAAGGGAAACCAGCAGGAGAACCCGCCGATTTTTGGGGGGTCCCCTTAAAAGAGACCACCTCGGAATGTGAGTGGCTCGTCTTGTTTGAGGGTGCCCCTGTTTCGACATTCACAGAATTATGCGGGGTATGCAAGACACACTCATACATGTTCAAGTAGACGAACTATGGGACCATTTGAAGATGTTGCCTTTTGCGTACGGCCAAAGCGGGCCTCTTAGCTCATTACCTTGCAGGGATTGCCTCCGACATGATATTTTGTTGACTAAATTCGAAACATGCATCTGAACATCGTGGTTCTGGTGTACCCTGCGTTGGGCAATGTTGGGCCACGTGCCGGGGACCGCAAGAAGAGTCACTCGATGTTCGGCTCCCACTTGTCGACTTTGCTAGCAATGGGATCCTGGTCCGGTGCACAGACGCCTTTCGGAATTCGATTTTGTTACGTTTTGGAAGGAAGCTCTCGGCACCAAGCCATGTTGGTGGAAGAGTATGTTGAAGAGTACCTCTTTTGGGGTGGTTTTTAAAGAAGAGTCAAGGGGAGAACAGATATACTTACAGGATTGTGCAAACCACTCCCTGTTTTCAGAGAGATAGAACCCCATTTTGCCCCTTTTGACCATTCCCTTCCGGAGCGACTTGCAGATGTCCTGGTGTTAGGTGGGAAGCATGTAAACCATCACTTAAGATCGACTCCCAAGAACACGGACCTAGGGGCTGTGGAAAAGCCCGGCGGGGAAAGCCCAGAGTCCAGAAGGGGCTTCCCAGCCAGGGGCGAACCCCCCCGACCCCCCCCCAAACAACAACACAACCACTTCTCTGCAAACGAAAACCGCGACTTGATGGTTTAGATGTTCCGAGGTCTAGTATAGGTGCATGCGGTGTTTGAGTTGATTGTTTGTGTGTTTGTGTGTTTGTTTTTGTGGGGGGGGCTGGCTTCAAAGGGAAACCAGCCGTAAACCAACCATCAAACCCCGGCCAATTGGTGGGTTTCGAAGCAGGATCAGAATGCTCGGGGTCTCCGATGGGCGAAGGCCCGTGTTTCCAGAGTGAGTAAAGATGCGACAAGTTTGCCTTGAGATGACACCCCAAGTCATGACACTCCCCACTGCCCCGTGGTCCATGAAGGATGGAAAGTTGGCTGGATTTCTTTGGGTTCATTCAAGTGTGGTCATTTTGCCATCCTGCCAGGGGTGTATGAGGCTAGACCCCCAAAGCCCCCAATCGGGCACCTTCCAAAAAGTCATAAGTTCGAACAGTCAAGGCCAAGCAATGCAAAGTCAGTCGCCAAATACGGCCCGTTTGGGGTCCGTTTGGGGGGGCTCGCGGGGTGTTTTCACAAGCCTCCCATGATTCCTAGGGGTTGGGTATTTCACATTCAGGTGGTTTTCACGCGACACCAAAAGGCATACCGACCACATGGACGATCCAACTCCCTGTTTTGACATACCCGCGATTCTTGGATTCTTGGATTTGGGTTTCGCTTTTGAAAGGGACGAATCTCTTAGATTCTTGGTTGTGGGGGTTGCGCTTTTGGGGGGCTCCAAACGTCTTCCAACTTCCAACGTTTTTGTTTTTTCCCCACCAGAAGCTGAGGTGGGCACTCATATGGACCAGCTGGGCGCTCGCAAGAGCCAAGTGCTCAAGGCGGTGGACGCGCGGCTCCAGCATTTGCCTCTCGGCCATCGGTGGGTTGTGCCAGGCCGTGGGTCAACATGAATGGGATCCCATTTTGGGGTAGGTGCACCACCCGTTTTGGAACCTATTTTAGTGTGGATTGGGATGTTTACAGGGGGTACGGGGTTTTGACCCATAGCCAGATCAGGACGCGGCGCCCACGGTTGTTGAATGCCTGTTCTTTTCACGACGCCGAAGAACGGATTGCATCCTGACGTGGGTGTCTGAGCCACATAGCAGAGTTGGTTACATAACTGTGGTTATAAGGGGACTAGCCCCAGTTGCTTCCATTTGCTGAAGAATATGTGTTATTTTTCCTCGTTGGCAACATGCTTTTCAACGGGGCGTAAACAAATGGAAGCAAATAGGCGCACAGTTGATGTCGAGATCCATACCCGGCTTTGGTGGAAGCTTTGCAGAGCTCTTTGCCCGTGTTCCGCTCCTTTTCGCAGGCATGCCCCTGCAGAGGAACGGGCTTCCCAACGCCAGAAGGTTCTGTCCTCTGTTCGCTGGAGGGGTTTTCGCTCCAAGATCAGCTACCAAAGAAAGGCGCTCTTTTTCCATGGCCACTGGAGGTTTGTGTTCAGAGTAAGTCTGTCGATGGAGGGTTCAGGACATTTTCCACCATTGGGCCATCAACAAGCATAGGAGTACGTGTCTCAGGGAGTGGAGCTTGATGCAGCCAAGGCTTGAACGGAATGAGGCACTGAATGAGCAGATTGTGGCAGCTGAGATGCAAGCAAGACAAAGCTCAGGCTCCATGCCGGCTCATGATTTGAGCGACTCACAAAATTACTGGTTTTCTATTAGTTTGGGGAGGGCAACGGGGGCCCATAGGTCTTCTCCGCTTGAAGGGTTGTTCCTTGCAGTGAGTCAAACCTTCGCGTGCTGGAGGTTTCCAAGCAAATCTTTCTGAGGCCAAAGGGGATTCCATTCTGGGGCTGTGGGCAATGCCCACTGGATCCCACATGTTTCGCCATGTGGTAGGTAAACCTTCGGACTGTTCCAGTGGATTTTGAAAGGGTCCCCTTGTTACCTAGTAGGTAACCAGCTATTTTTCTTTTGGTTTTTGAAAGGCAGGTCCCCTTGGTTACCTACCACGGGAAATGGAGCTCGCGTGTTTGTCTCCGACCTGGCGGGGTGGGTTGAGGGAATTTCAACGCCTAAAGGAATAGACATACACATATGTGTGTATGTGTGTGTGTGTCTCTTAAGATGAATCATAGCTACAGAAAGATATATCGAACTGTGTTTGTTTACAGCATCTTCAGGCTCCTATTTTATAACCTTTGACCACCCGATTGGTATGAAGAAGCCCTTTTCCCGGAAAGGGAATCAGTGCCACTTTTGGGTTGCTTCCAAGGTACAAGAACAGGAGACAAACGGACCTCTTGGAATTGGTGGTCGGATTGGCTTGTTCCCACCCTTGCCCCCGAAAGCGCCGGACTAGCTTGTGCCGCCTGCGTGCGAAAACTCCAAACTTCAAGGAGGAGAAAGCCGTGAAAAGCCTAAACTCTAACAGGGCTCCTTAATAGATACATTTTACCCATTTGAAACATGGCTTTTTCCACCCAAATAAAGGGAAACCACCATTTACAAGGCAATGTTCAGGTGTCTAATGTAAGGATCCCTGTCTAACGGAAGACTGAGGCCGGTGAAAATACGTTTAAAAGAAGCTGAAAAGCTTCGCCTTGGAAAAGCAACGCAAATTGAACAAGGTGTCACTTGCGCCAGCAGGCAATGCTGCGGCACCGCGCGACGGATACCAAACACTGTCTGGGGAGTTCGAAAGGTAAACCAAACTCGTTTGCTGACGAGTCCCCGGACGAGATCCTTTTTGGGAGACCATGTTGGCAACCTTGGCCAATCCACTCAGTGAGAACAGGACACCAACCTTTTTTTGGTAGGATTTCCTTTCACCGAACGACGTTCACCTTAGGTGAACCCCTCGGAAGAGCTCTGCTTCTTCCCGGTGGACAACCGCAGAAGCACTCGCGGCACCGGCGCAAAGGCCTGCGGGGGTTTCTTTCCTTCGACCTCCCTGAATTGTTCAGTGGCACCCTTTTTCCCCCTTTTTTTGGTGGCTGCCCCACTAAACATGGCTTCCCCGTTCCCTTTTTTGGTCCAGGGTCACTGAGCTCAGTTGAGCTCCAGTTGCTTCAATTCTTTCTTAGCGGGCGAAAACCCTCTTACAGTCAGCTACGAAGAAAAGTTGGGTGCCCGAGTTTCTCTGTTCTCTTTGGTGCATTTTGCCAAGGGATGTTAGGACTTTCACTTTTCGCCAATTAATGGGTTTTCCGTATTAAACCACTAAAAGTTAAAGACTTTTAGCAGGGGAGCAGAAAGCAACCAAGTTCTTGTTTGGTTTCAGGGGAGGTTCCCTTCAAATCAACCAGAAAGCAGGATGCCCTTTGCCACGGATACCCGCGCGATCGGACGCCATCAGCCCAGCTGCCAGCAAAGTCCTGAGGGTCTACAGTACCCTCCAAAATGGGCAATTTGGACCAGAAACTGAAAATGCCGCTATGCTTGGTGTAAGTACCCTGGGCTAGGCCAAGTTACAAGAAGACCAAGCTTTCAAGGATAGAACGTTGATTGGTCAAAGGGTTCATTTGGTTTCCCCCAGCTTTCCACCAGTTTCTGTTGGTTTGCTTTGCTTCTATCGGTTTCCCTTTTTCCCCTATTTTCGTGGGGTTCGTTGGGTTTCGCTTGTCTTTGGAATTGGTTTCCCCCCTTCACCAGCCTGCCCGCCGTTTCTTCGCTTCGAGTGCTCCTCAGGAGAAGGGGGTGGAGCAGCTGAGGGCCAAGGTGGATGAGACCGCCTCAGCGCCTCGAAGAAATCGGCGCGGCTGGCAGCTACAATGTTGACCCCAGATTAATCAACCCCAGGGACCTGTTCCCCTCCATTTCTTGAGAAACTGGGGTTGATCAACATGGCCATGAATGTTAATAGGGAACCCCCTCAAAAGTGATTGGTGGACATGAATCCCCAACTAAATGATGTCCACCAAAGGGTCCCTTATTTAAATTCATCGCCATATGGCTGTGGCTCAAAAGACCGGCACCAAGATGGAACCTTGGCAGGTGGAAACATGGACCAAAACCTGCGTAACCCCTCCTGTTTAATTTTGAGCCACACCCATGTGGGGTCAACAAATTATGTGTTACAAATCCCACAGGCACCCAGGCCCGGAGTTACCCTTGAATCAACTGCACCGGAAAAAGTCGATCCTCTTTTTCTTGCAGGAAGTTCCTTTCAAGTACCAGGAAAAGGAGGGCCTAGAAGAAAAGGAAAGAAACAAAAACGTGGCCACTGAAGGCTGAGGGTCTGGGCATTGGTGATTTATCCAAAGGGAAACTACAAGGGCATTGGTAACTTGTTGTTTTTTCACACCCCGACTTAGCATCCAGGATAGGCTTGCTGCAGTTTCGAGGGTTTCGAGAATGAAGTGGCCACTAGTGGCCTTGCTGGTTGAGGCATTTTTCCAGAGGCAGACTTCAACGCTTTCGTTTTCCTTGCTGGTTCCATTGGCATGTTGGGCAGGGAATGCCCCGAAGTGAACCACAAGAGGTATCTCGATGTCTCAGCTTATGGGCTTTAGTGTTTTTTGTTTGGGAAAGATTGCGTTTTGTGAACCTCGTCAATATCCAGTCAACCTCAATACCCAGTCAACCGCAAAGATGTAAAATCAAAACAACAATGATCCCAGAAAAAAATGCGATGTGGCCTCATCGGAATGACTGAACCATCCGACCGATACTTGAAGAAGCCCAAGGTTCCTTCCCAACGCTTCTCTTTTGGTTTCCTTGAAGCATCCCTTATGGTTTTGTGGCCTTGTACGGACTGAACCGTCGGAAGCCAGGTGCTAGGTTCATTCCTGGAATTGGAAACCAAGGAATCCCCTATCTCGTGTCGACGCCCCCGCCCAGAAGCCCAAGAAGCCAAAGAAACATTCTGGGCATGCCAGGACAACCCTGTAAGATAGTCGAAAAGAACAAACACCACCAAGCTCCCTGAGTGGTAAAGGCCGGTCGCGCAGGACACGCCAGGTTCGTGTTTGGAGGGTGATGAAGCTCAAGTCAGACAGAACAGGCCTGTTTTTCAGGAGCCAATTCAGGGGACCCTAAACGGGTTCCAATAAACAGGTTCCAGCCACAGTGTTTTTGTTTTTTGTGTGTGGAAGTGTTTCCCTTTGAACTTCTGAAGTGGGTCATGTAAGGGCTTGAACAATAATAACACCCTATTGTCTTGACTGCTATTGGGCAACGGAGCTTTAGACTTTAGCTTGTTGGTTGAAATGAAGGGTTTTTCCCACTAAACCCACACCAAGTTAAACTTTTTGCAGAGGGGTCAACAGCAACAAAGTTCTCTGATAATAATCGGGTAATTTGCTTGACTAGTGCCCCACAACCCCCACCCGAATGGGCTCTTGCTGTCACCTTACCCTAGCTTATAGCGGAGCTCGTTATTTTCCACCAATGCGAAACGGTCCTAAGGTGACTACCAGACTCGTACCCCATGAAATCAACTAGGGATGCCGGGGGTAAGAGAACTCACTACCTTGGCATCTGAAAGGGGGACCAGAGGTGAAGCTTTCATGTTTGGCTTTGGTGGCTGGATCCAAACTGGCTGCTCCAAAACAAATGTAAACTTGAAAGAGAATCTGAACATGTTCGTGTATTTGGGGGCCCATGCGGGAAGCAAAGTAACCCTTGACACCCAGGCCGCCAGAACCTCGCGGCAGAATTACCGTGGTGTTGTCCCTTTGGATCGGCCGAGAAGCGCGCCGGGTTTTCCAAAGCACTCATTGTGGTCGAATCAAAGGTCGAGCGAAACGGTCTCATGTTAACCTCCAAAGTGAGAAAAAAGTAGTCACGGGGATGGAAATTCCGCCTTGATATTACGGTGGTCTCCTCCTTTAAATTTAGAGGCTAGACATGATACAGAATCAAAGCATATCTTTGGTGCACCTTGGTACAGAACATGTGACTTCCCAACGAGCGACCGCCTTGGCTGTCTCAGGACATCTGCACCGGCGGATTTCTGTCAAAGCCCTTGCCACTCTACTGGCTGAGATACCAGCCACGCGGCTTCTTCTTCGTTTCGAGGGAAACGAGCGCCTTTCCGAGCGATAGAGTCACCTTGGCAACATGAAATCAGACCTTGGGGCCGCCTTTGTTTGCAAGATTCCTCAATCAGATGATCCTAGCGGGGTTCGAATAAGCTGTTCCAATCGCTTGCGCCAAAGGAAAATAATTTGATTTGGCTGAACGGTTGAGCCCAAAAGAGGGGTCATCCAACCGTTTTCCTCAGACCTTCTAGCGTCCATGTTGGGAAGCTAAGCCCAGCACCTCGATGGCTCTTCTTGGACTTGTTTTCTTCAGAGCGTGTCTTTTGGGAGTGGGCTCCCTTAACAGGAGACCACAAACCTCGGGTGGCTAAACATGAAGCACTATCAGGTAACCCAATTAGGGGTGGTTTGGATGGGTGGTTTGGAACCCCTGGTGTCCGAAGAGGGTACATGGGGAAACCGCCCCTAACCTGCAAACCACCAATCCAAACCACCAATTCGAGAGATTTAGCTGTGCCGGCTCGGGCCAAGATTGGTCAATTGAGTCCGGGTAGAGCGATTCAATCCAGCGCTGACGTCTTCTGTGGCAACAGCGAATGTTGTGCTTTCCACATTTTGAGACACCGAAATGAAATCACCCTAAGGGTTCCTATTAAGGCTGGTATTCCCAGGAATTGTCCATAGGGTATGCCTTCATGGACCCAAACTCGGGGCCCGATCTGCGCTAGAAGGGAACCATCACCCAAGCTTTGACCATCGCACCACAGACTCTGATTTGTTCCCCCATTCCAGGCGGGTGTCCTTTATTGAGAGTATCCCTTTAGTTGGTTTTAGAGGGAAACCACAAGGATATTTGGGGGGTCCCCTAAAACAGACACCCCCATAGGTTCAATTTTGCAGATGCTGGAGCAACCCGGTTACGGCGGTCTTGGACATGTTGTAGACTTGCAGGTGAACGGTCGGTGTGTCCCCTCCTAAGAGTAGAAGAAGGGGGGAGGGGTACGATTTGGGAGGTTCCAAGAAAAGTTCCGTTTCCTGAGGAAGACTGGACAAATGGAATTCGGGCCCCCTTACTGGATATTGTCCTCCCATATTGTCCCTGGCAACGATCTGATTTTAATATCCGCCAGTTGGCGCTAGTTCTGAAGCAAAATGTTTAGTAGAGTCACTTACCCAAAGGTGTCATGTTGGTTTTCCAAGCATGGTAGATTCTCCGGGCAAGGTGTTGAGATGTTCTGCTTTTGTTCCAGGTTCTATGGGGCAAGTGATGAATGTTATATTTTGTAGTAGCACCTGACTCAACCGAAGCTAAGTTTGACAACCACATATGCAATCAGATGCATTGATGAATGACACAAGGCTAAAGCTGCTCTTAGACCCTTAGACTCCGCCTGCTCAACTTGTTTCAATGGACAAAAGCACGGGCATCTCCACTATTTGTGACGTTGTTTGTGCTTGTGTTTTGGCAAGCCAATAGCACCTCACAACAAAAGCAACCCATCCAGGAAGGAGTGTGGGGGTCCCCTATTTTGAGGTTGACTTCCGCTACTTCACCCGATGTTGGTTATTTTGGATGCCCCGATGTTTGTCACAAGTACTTCACCCAGCATGCATTTTGTGTTGTGGAAGCGGTTTGGCGGTGCCCAGAACCGTTTTCCGATCACCGGCTAGGAAAGAGATGATCCGCCTGGGCAAGCTGGGCCCGGAGTGCTACTGGGGCGACTTGGCACGGAGTGTCACACTCCATTTTCATGGTGCCATAGGGATGACCACGGGTCCGGGTGGTGGGCATGAACCGGAAGAGGATTCCCTGAAAGGAAACTATAGGGGATGGTTCGCAGGGGTCATTCCAATTCTCATTCAAGTGTTCCATTTGCCTTGGAAGATGGTTGATTGTCCCCTGGCTTGAAGCAAAATCTAGGAATCTATTCCATGTTTGATTTCCAGGGCACTGAAGCACATGGAAGTGGGAGTTCCATGCGCTTCTCCTGGGCCCTTGGGTTTCCCAGGAGCCATGAGTTTCCTTTGACCGGGGTCCATGTTGACTGTGGTAGGTGGGTAGGTGGGCAGGTGGGAAGGTGGGTAGGCCAGTAAGTAGTTGGACCGCCCACAACCGCCAGTGTGGGACGATTTTTTTTATTATGATGTGGTTCTTGCTGGTTTGGACCGCCCACAGCCGCCTGTGGGACGAACTCCATTTTTTTCATGTGGTTCTTGCTGGTTGATTCGGTTTGTCCTTTGCACCTGTTCTGCTCGGAAAAACAGTTGACTCGAGACTTGGGAAGTCGGAGTTCACAGCGGCTCGCGCCCATTTTTTTTGCGGCAGCATTCCCAGCCTTTGGCCAAGCGGGGATTTGGCTTGCGATCTCACTTTCCCACCAGTCCCTTTGTTTCCTCAGTGGTTGAAGCATCCAGCTGGACTCATGGCTCATGGCTATTGAGCTTCTGGATGGGATCCTTTGGGCTGGAAACTTGAAGAATATGCCTTGAGGGACTCTCCGATTTCTATGTCTGGTTTTAGCCTCCTGCGCCACGCTGCACACATGCCTGCTGTCAAATGCCATGAGGATCTAGGACCACACTCCAATGTCCTTAGGGCGCACAACGGATATTTGCCGTGGCTCGTATGGCCATGGTTCATAACCAATGGTACCATTTTGGGATGGGTGCACCGAAAACTGGGGTCCTCCCCGGCGACAGGAGATCACCCGAAATGTTGTCTTATTCTTGTCTTTGCTCATATATGGCCATGGGTCAAAACCCCGTACCTCCAGTGAACATCCAAATCCCAACCAAATTAGACTAAAATGGGTCCCACATCCCTCCTTGCACAAAAAAATACGTGTGTATGTGCGAAAACTCACAAGAATGGCCGCTTTTTTCGCGCTGATTTGCTGTTAGGTCCTTTTTCAGGTCCTCAAAGTGATCATATACTTCCATTTGGTTAGGAATATTTCTTTATTTTCCCCTGTCGGTTTTTAAAGGGAATCTAACACTACTGGAATCATTTGTATTTTTTTCCAGGGGACTTAAGCAAATGGAGATATATGTTCAGGGTAGACTAGGTAAGCAAGCGGCCGAGGCGCGGAAGATGGCGCGCGACCTGCAGGCGGGAGTCGAGGAGTCGAGGTTCGCAGCCGAGATTTTTCTCTTGTCCAAATCAGGAGATCCGCGCAAAGAAATTTCAGGCAATCCTTGTACGCCTGCTTAAAGGGGCAGGGTACTTAGAAAGCGATAAGCCAGGTTATAATCCACCTAGCAGGCCTAGCTTCGGTTCAAAAACAACTACAATCATTATCAGGAAACACGAGCTCACCCAGAAGGCGTCCTTTTGTTTGTTTCCTTGCAGGTTTGTGAATCTAAGTTGGCACGGAATGGAAGCCACTCCCGGAAACATGCACACCCGACTGGGCTTGTCCTTTGGGTGTCGATCTACAAAGAAACACCCACAAGGTGTCCGTGTCCTTTGACTGTTCAAAATCCATCCCTACTCCCTTGTTGTATTGGTGTTTTACTATATGAGCAACAGGCTAAACTCTCCGTTGCTTCTTTATGCATTCGGGCGATTTAGCGTGAGGGAATCTATTGAAACCTTGTAGAACGATATAGGGAACCCCCAAAAACGATAAAACATGCTTTCATGATGTGGCAGACGATGCTTGGAGCGTCTCGCGTTTGGCAGCTTTTTTTTGTGGCCCTGAATCCCAGCCATCATGTTTGCGCCTCCTGACGCGCCCAGCATATGTGAGATCGGGCTCTGCGGCCACGCAATGCTGTTTGTTCCGCGAACTTTGGCAGAAACATACCTGCCCAAAACGATAACCGAAACGATAACGAAACGATAAGCAGTTCATTCGGAAAATCGTCTTCGTGAGCAGTTGCCCATAACGGTAGACTCGTGCGCACAGTTTCGATGTCTCCGTGCTGCGTGCATTCGTAGTGCGCCATGAGTGATGAGGAGGCTCTCAAGCGTTTGCGAAAGGAGGTTTTCAAGGACTCCGATCTGCCTGGAAGCAGTGCCATCTCAAAACTCACGCTTTCCCGTACGCATCTCCAACTGCCTCTTCACAAGCTCGCTCGAAATCAACTGCTTTGCTTTAGAGAAACATTTCTGCTTTGCGTTTGTGCGTTTGTTTCGTTGTTTTTTGGTAAGCCTCGTGCAGGTAACAGCGCTATCACACAGCATGCTCCGTACTGGAAGCATAGCAACTACAGTGGAAGCGCGGCTTTTGGCAAGATCCCACATGGAGAAAACCAACGGTTGCTCTAAATCAAACGAATGAAATCATGAGGAAGCACCATGCCCAGCTGCGCATGTTTCGCTTCACCTTGAAAAGCACTAAATCCTGACTTTCGACCAAATGGTCACTCGCGATGAACCCGCTTGGTCAAGGCAAATGCCCGGAGTAAGCGGAAACATGCAGCTGCTTTGTCTGCTGACCCAATGGAAGAGTCTGAAACAGAGCTGTGAAGCCAATGTGCCGTGACAATAAAGCGCCAGTGCGCGCTCTCCATGTGCCAGAAACCTGCAAAACGATATAGGGAACCCAGAATGAGTCCTAAATCACTTCTGTGCATTTAGGTTTTGCCGCTCACTCATATACAGAGTGCGGATTGGGATGGGTTAGGATTGGGGGTTTTGCGCGGCTGGCGAAAGAGTTGGCCTGGGGATGTACCTTGGCAGAGTCCCTCAGAGACTGGCCCATTTGCATGCGCTTTGGGGCCCCAGCCTGAGCTTTGGTACCAAAACCATCCTGCGTCTTAGCCCTCTGCTGAAACGGCGGAAAAGGACCACAAATCCCAGGTCCAGGCTTGAACTTTAGCCCAAGATGTCAGAGGCTGAAATTTCAAGATGGTTTGAACTTGACCCCGGCGGCTTAAACCAATCTGCCCATGGTCGAAAGCCTCCCGTCCCAAACGCATTTGGGTGTTTCACCTCTGAGAAGCCCCCAGTTCTCGCCCTCCAAAAACCTGCCTTGGCCCTCGCGCCTCGCGTCTCGCGTCTCTCGCGCGCCGCCCGGTCCAGGCACGCAGGTCTTGCCCTTTTCGGAGGCGGCGAAGCTGGCCCGGGCGGCGTCTCGGAGCGGAAGCGGAAGCGGAAGGGGCGGCCACGGCTTGGGGCGGGGAGGTTGGACTGGGGTCCCGAGCCGTCCGAGTTGGGGTGAATGAAGCGCACACGGCTCCAAAAAGGGGCGCCTTGGGTTCTTTCTGGATTTTTTGGAGGTGGTTGGCTGGAATACATTGGCTGAAGCGTTTGAAAATGGGCATAAAGGCAGACGAGAGGGGTACTTTGGGGGTCCAGGGCACTTAAACCTTACAATTTGGCACCAGAGGGTCTGTGGGTTGGTTTGGACATCAGGATTAAATTGGCTGAATTGAAAAGAGAGGACATCTCATTGGTGGTGTTTTAAATGAAGCGGTTGCTTTTTTGGAGGAGCTTGAAACTGGTCGGTTGACAACCTCCATGTCCACCAGATGGTTCCCGGCAAAAATTGAGACCCTATATGTGTCTTTGGGTTGGTCGCCTTTTCAGGTTGGTTGGTTTTCCTTTGGGGCGGCAGGCCTGGGTGGATTGACAGAATTGGTTTCCTCCATTTCCCTTTGTGGAACCTCAAAAGTGGCAGTCTCCATGGAAACCATGAGTGAATAGCAACTTTTGAAGGCAAGATCCAGTGACCCCTGTTTTGGCTGGATCTCATGTTGGCGCTTGGGTTGGTTTCTTGCTTCCAGGAATCAATTGATTTTCAGCTTGCTTGTTGAGACGGTGGGCGTGTGTGTGTGTGTGTGTGGGTGTGTGTGTGTGTGGGTGTGGGTGTGGGTGTGGGTGTGGGTGTGCGATGTGCGATGTGCGATGTGCGATGTGCGATGTGCGATGTGCGATGTGCGATGTGCGGTGTGCGATGTGCGATGTGCGATGTGCGATGTGCGATGTGCGATGTGCGATGTGCGATGTGCGATGTGCGATGTGCGATGTGCGATGTGCGATGTGCGATGTGCGATGTGCGATGTGCGATGTGCGATGTGCGATGTGCGATGTGCGATATGCGATGTGCGATGTGCGCTGTGCGCTGTGCGCTGTGCGCTGTGCGCTGTGCGCTGTGCGCTGTGCGCTGTGCGCTGTGCGCTGTGCGCTGTGCGCTGTGCGCTGTGCGCTGTGCGCTGTGCGCTGTGCGCTGTGCGCTGTGCGCTGTGCGCTGTGCGCTGTGCGCTGTGCGCTGTGCGCTGTGCCTGTGCCTGTGCCTGTGCCTGTGCCTGTGCCTGTGCCTGTGCCTGTGCCTGTGCCTGTGCCTGTGCCTGTGCCTGTGCCTGTGCCTGTGCCTGTGCCTGTGCCTGCCTGTGCCTGTGCCTGTGCCTGTGCCTGCGCCTGCGCCTGCGCCTGCGCCTGCGCCTGCGCCTGCGCCTGCGCCTGTGCCTGTGCCTGTGCCTGTGCCTGTGCCTGTGCCTGTGCCTGTGCCTGTGCCTGTGTGCCTGTGCCTGCGTGCGTGTGCGTGCGTGTGCGTGTGTGTGCGTGTGTGCGTGTGTGCGCGTGTGTGCGCGTGTGTGTGCGTGTGTGCGCGCGCGCGCGCGGGTGTGTGTGTGTGTGTGTGTGTGTGTGTGTGTGTGTGTGTGTGTGTGTGTGTGTGTGTGTGTGTGTGTGTGTGTGTGTGCGTGTGTGTGTGTGTGTGTGTGTGTGTGTGTGTGTTTTCACGGTGCCCTTGCTTAGGTTGGCTTCAAGAAAATGCCAAAACGACAGTGGGTCCCCTACTTTGACAAATGCCAAGTTGGAGGTGGATTGCGTGTCTCATGGTCCACAACTGTTGTGAAGGCACCACCTTCATATTATGTGGCGTGGTCCAATGATCTCCATACTTGGGGTTGGCAGGGATGGTCATCAACCTCTTTCCGGGGTTCAGACAACGAAAGGTTCTTATTTCGGAACCATGACTATGACTCGCAGGAGTTTGCCCGCGCCCGCCGCATATGCACTAACACCATTCAGATATATTCAGACTTTATCCTGCCTTCTCCAGGGCCAAAATTCAAAACCCCCTTCGGCCGTTTGAGTAGGGACTTGTTGCTACCAAAAGCAATGGACAGCTCCAATGCGAGCGAGGATTCGATGCGTTCAGCTAAGACATGTGTGCGGGGAGCATCCAACATCGGCTTCGGAGAAACCTTCCAAGCGTTTCTTTTCAGCCGCAACCAGGTAGTCTCAAACAAGGCGCAGTGGCCATGGTAGTGGTATCTTCATTCTCTTCTGGGAGGCGGGGGGTGGTTTTGGGCCAAACCATTTTCGAAGTGAGCATATTTGGCTTCTCTAATTTGCAACAGTACCCAGACTTAGCTTCCCTTTTGAAGGGTTCGCCTTTTTGATGGTCCTCCATGTTTCCATTTCAACCTGCAAGGTTTAGTATGAGAGGATGTTACTTTGGGTCAAGGCAGACTTGGGGAGCGAAAGGTCGGGATCCATGATGACGGCGAGCTGCTGTCGGTGCTCATATACTTGCACGACACAGGCGCCGCTTTCGCGCTCGCGGCGCTCCGCCCCCCCGTCTGCCCACGACATTCATCTCCTTTTTCATAGGATCCGACCCTCCCCTCCCCCGTGCTCCCTTTTAAATGAGAGTCAAAAGGTCACGCCTTCCAAACTCAATCAGCCATCAGTTCTCCCAAGATTTTCCAAAGATCTGACACATCACTCTTGCCCGTCCAGACTCAACAAGAGGGGCAGAATGGTGAGCCTGATGCAAATCCTGGCCGAAACCTGATGCAACTGGATAGAGCTTTGCCTGAGTCAAAGTTGGGGTCCTTAGAGAGTAGCTTCCCATTTACCCTAAAAAATCGAGCCAAATCATATCCCATCAACCCACAGCAGGAATGCAGCTCGTGCGCTCCCCTAGTCAATTGACTGTTGCGGCGTTTTTGTTTGTAAGGCTTAGTGGCAAGCCAATCACAGGAGGATTATCATTCTTGGGTGAATAATTTCGTCCAATAGACCACAATAGGTCCATGAGACTTCAGTGGCGGGAAGCCTCGTCTTAGGCTCCATCATCTTCTTCGACGAAGACAAGCTCCGAGACTCTGTGGTGCTGGATCCCTACTGGCTCGCGGAGGCCCTCCAATCCTTCGAGTTCGGCGCAGAAGTGTTTGAACTTTGGCATCCGTGCTCCCTGTGGATGGTTGCGAAATCCATTTCGCACCATCTAAGAAATCCTGGAAGGATGTCTCCGCTGTTGATACCAACAAACAATGGTGCAGGTTTTCGTCCATCCGCAGTATGTATGGGGCCTTGTTTTTCCGCTCCCGCAGCCTTCCTTCAGTACGTTCTCATGGTTGTGTGGTCCTGTGTGCCAGGTTTGCAGCAGGCAAACAGAGCTTCAACTAGATGTAACAATACGCCAAGCAATCATGTTCATTGGATTCCGTTTGATTGAGTATTCTTTGAGGTGCTGTACGGGGATAGGGAAACATCGGAGAGCATAGGGCAGCATGGGATGACGGGAACCTCTACCCATCACCTTTCGCCAATTTTGCCTTGTGGTGAGGTTTGAGGGGATAACATTGGTAACCATTAACTTGCTTTTTGGTGATGTAAGGGTAAATATAGAGAGAGAGAGCGAGAGAGAGAGAGAGAGAGAGAGAGAGCGAGAGAGAGAGAGCGAGAGAGGGAGAGAGAGGGAGAGAGGGACGTATGATGAGGTACGGGGAAGCACGCCAGGGGCAACTTCAACTTCCCCGTTTCTTCCCGGAATCTTGCTTCAACGAACTCACCGAAACCCAAGAGGAAGCCGCCGGTCTTGACAAAAACATGGTTAGGCTGTATAGTGGGCACGGAATCAATCCCTAGAATCATCGGGTGCACATGGGGAAACATAGGGTGATGTTGAAGTGTTAGGGAACATAGAGGCTTCAGTCGACTCGCCCCAAAAGGGTCATCTCTCAAAAGGGCTCCAGCAGCACACGCATCCCAAACACTCAAAACGGAGTCAAGCTCGAAAAAACATGGTTCCAATTCTTGTTTACCTTTTGGGTCACTGGTTGCAACTTGAGACAGCCACGTCTTGCGTATAGGTGCGTACCCCCGGATGGCTTTGGCCAGATACATATGGTCCCTTCCCGTAAAACGCCCCAAACATGGAAGGGTTTTCTGTTGGTTTTCTCGACGCGAAAAGGAGGGAACCCTTAGCAAAAGCACAGCCAGACAATTCAATTAGTCCACCTCGGGGTTCCCCTTTTGGTTGGTTTTCATAATCACCTGCTGGGCTACTCATTTTGCTGTACAGTAAATAACCAAGAACGCTACCCTGCAAAACCCTGAAAAGGAAACTGGGTCGTCGATCCCTACGCGTTTCGAAACGCAACTGGGATCTGGGTCTCTAAATACTGCAAGTAGGGAACAACTTGGAAACCCCACGTAACTTCAACCATGTGGTAGATTTACCTTGGAAAGCCTGTAACTTCAACCATAGCTCGTGGTTGATTTACCTTGGACAGCCTGCAAATTCCCATACTCAAATGATGTAATACAAAGCTCTGCACATGGTGAGCCTGGCTGGCAAAGCAATTTGCCCAAACTATGTCTGGCTACCTATAAAAAGGAAGGTCAAAGAGAAGAGCCTTAGGTTTTGTTTGATTACCTGCCACCCAGAGTGTCCAAGTACCTTCTAAACATGCACTCAGACCCCTTTTGACCCCAAAACCCATCAGAAGATACCAAGGGAGCCTCTGGGCCTCATCAATCCAGCCATACCTTGGACCCTCCCAGCAAATTTTCAACCATGGTTTGTGGTTGATTCACCTTGGAAGACCCCCGCAACTTCACCCACAGTTCTTGTGTCTGACCCTGCCACATGGGGCATCCGCATCCCTTCAGGCCGCGGCCAACATCTTCAACTGCCCGCGGGTGGTCCAGGGCCGCGTGGCCTCCGCCAGGCGTGGCCTCCGCCATCGTCGAGCGGCGGGGTGCGAGCGCGGACGAAACGCAGGGCCGCAACAGGGCGCCAAAGAAAACACACCTCTTTTTTGGCAACCTGTTTTTTGTTTTGTCTTTGTTGATGGCGGAATTTCCATGGGCCAGGGGTTGCAAAAAAAAGCTCCTCTTTGCCCTCATAGCCTGTTTTTCTTCCATTCGCATGGAACCCAGGGGTCCCTTTTTGAAGGAACATCGTCTTCCACCACACAAAACGTTCCCCGCTTCGAAGATTTTTGCGTCGGAGGCGGCTGCTGGAGCGGGGAGAGCTGCATCTGGACTTGCTACAGCAGCACCTCTGGAAATCTGAAAGGCCCAAAGAGAGAGAGAGAGAGAGAGAGAGAGAGAGATCTGCGTTTCGCGGGGAAAGGTTTTATGCAGGGCGTGTTTGTTTGTAGGTTTGTTTGGTGGGGTGGTTGGTTGTTGGTTTGTTTGTTTGCTGGTTTGTTTGTTTGGTTGGTTTTGTGTTGTGTTGTGTTGTGTTGTGTTGTATTGTTTTTGCTTGGCTGCTTGGCTGGTAGGCTGGTTGGCTGGTTGGCTGGTTGGCTGGCTGGCTGGCTGGCTGGCCGGCCGGCTGGCTGGCTGGCTGGCTGGTTTGCTGGTAAGGGGAGGTCTGGACAAGTTCCCTGTTCACTGGCTTGCTCCTTCGCCTTTCTTCTCCACAAACAAGTGGACAACAGGTCATGGTGAAAAGGCTTCTTTCGGGGGATCTCAGACTCTAGCTTCAATTTGGGAATCACTCACCTGGTCCAAGGCTGAAGCTGGTTTCCCAGTTTCCCACAAGGCCATAACTACAGGTTCACTATGAGGGATTGTAGGGCTGCAGACATGCCTTTGAACTTGGGGAATAAATCGACCCTTGGCAATCCTACGCGAACTTGTCCAGCCCACCTGAGGACCTGACAACAATCCACCTGTGGTGATCCTCGCGTTTTGTGAATCTTGCAGGCGCCCCCCAATCCCCTTGTTGACCCGACCCCAGATCTGAGTAGCAGCTGTCGGATTAATAGGACGGAAGTTGGGCTCGTCATGAGGTTTCCCTGGACAAAGCCGCAGAGCTTTGCAGCGATTCTCTATTCCAAAGCCTCTGCGGGAGCTTTGCAGTCTGTTGACAGGGTTTCATTTGGAACTAGTGTGTTTGTTTGCCTCGTTTAAGGAATCCACCATGATGTGAGTTATGAGGATTGTTTTAGTTGTTGGTCTTGAGCCACTTAGTTGCAATGGTCTCTTCAGCTGCTTTATAAATGGCTGTCAGATGGAAAAAACACTACAACATCAGTCAGGCTGTGCACCGTCTAGTTTCACGGGTTTTTGCGTCTACACAGGGAGGGCAAGCAACAGATCACCACTACGGAGGTTTCTCAACAACATCCAATGTCGTCGGGAGACCGCGGCTCAGAATGAACCTTTACAAGCATGCTGGTAGAAGCAAAGGCTTGCTGGTTCTCAGCATGGGTCATTCCCTATCGCACCAGCAAGAAGGTCAATGAAACGTGAAACTGGACCGATTTTTTTTTTTAATTATTTTTATTTATTATTATTATTAAGCCTGTTCAGGACATTGGCTGGTTACCTACTATACAGGTACCTAGTACATATTGGTATATCACTGACGCCTGTGGGTACAAAAACACTCGTAGGATGCGGTTTGTGTGGGTAAAACTGACTCGTATCCACTGGGATTCGGCTTCCGGCGAGGTTTGCGGAGCACATCCCGACGCTCATCAACCTCATGCTTCGCTTTGACCTCCTGGTCTCCTCCTCCGAGAAGGCCGGGCCCCTAAGCCACACCCAGTTCCCGTCACTCGCGCTGAAAAAAACCATGTAAACCCTAGAGAAACCCCATATGACACCCAGAGGTAAGACACCTTCATGTAAGACCTAGAGGCAAGAAGCCATGAGTTCCTGGAAGAATAGGCTTGCCTGGAAGCACTGGAAGGTGCAGACTGTTCGCTCTTTGCCATAGCTTTACCATTTTGGCGTCCCTATTTGAAGAGAAGCTCAAGACCATTCAAAAGCATGACGCCAGCATCACCATCACCATCACTTGGTTTCCCCCTCCAAACCTGGAGCGCTTTCCCGGCGCTTCATGGGCGGTTTAGGACGTCTACGTGGTGCCCTTTCTGCTGCCTTTGAAGAGCGGTGCCTACGATCCCCCGGGCGAGGGATCTTTGTCCTTCGACTTCCACGGGATGCTCTCCAGGCGCCCCGGGCCCCACTCGACGCGTTTGTTTCTCGAGTTCTCGGGGCAAAAGCGACGCGAAGAGGCTGGAGTGTTGTGGCCTGAATAGATGATATAGTGCATGGTTTTTGCGGGCAGTCTCTGTTCCCAGTTTGAATCATTGATGGTGGCTTTTATGTTGGCGGGTGGATTTGCATGGGGAATTGATCACTTTACGTTGCGGCTTCTTCAAGGGAACCGCCTCCAAAGGGGTTGGCCTGTTCATGAATCCCCACCTAAATGTTGTCCACCAAAGGGTTCCCTATCACCTTAGAAGCTTAGCAGTCCTTTCAGGGGGAACTGCTGGGGTTTCACGATCCGACCAAAAGTCCGACCAACCGACCAAGGTTGAGCTGGACATTTTGACATCACACGTTGGTTTACTCATGCGAGTATCGGTTCATAGTTTCCGTCATTTACGGTATTGAGGAAGATGGCATTGGGCACCCTATTCGGAATGGGAATGGAGTTGTTCACTCATTTCCATGCCAGTCGGGAGCAATGAACACTGACTGTGTCTCATGCCGATGTTCTCGTCAATGAGCCAAACAAGTCATGGCCTTGTCATACCAGGCCCTTCAACAAGACCAAATAAGAGCAAATAGTGCTTTGACAGTTGGGTTTGTTTTCTTGTTTTGATGTATTGTACCTCATGTTTGGGGTGAGGGGGTTCCTCACCTCCGAGTATCTGGACGGTGGTTGGACCATTTCAGTGGTAATCTGAACGTCCAGACTTTTTCCAGTCAATCAAATTAGGAAGTTGGGGGAGGGGGGGAAGCTGAGAACCGTCAATATTTACCATCGCCAGAATAACACTTGGACATGGCTATACTCGCCTAATTCTCATCATTGAGGGACACCATACATACTGTGGATGGACGAAATCAAATCCTGTATCCCACACCAATATATGTACACAATATACATACATATGATAGATAGTATGTACATGTGCATGAATATATATATATATATATATATATGTATATACATACATATATGTATTATGTATTATGTATTGGCCATGGTTCACCTCCATGTCAGGGGGCGTGCGAGCGCGCGCCATTTTCACGCCTTCCACTGGACCAGCGAGGCTGCTGCCCACGGTCTTCCCGCGGCTCATCGCGTCGGCGGCGAAGAGCCCCTCCATGAAGCTCACGCACTCCCAGGTCTACAAGGAGCCTCATGGGAACTTTCGGTGGTTAGTTGGGTGGGGGAGGTGGGTGGTGGGGGAGGGTGGGGGAGGTGGGTGGGGCCAAGGGCACTTTGCTGGAGGGTTCCCCTACTAAGACCTATTCTATCCTCTCTACTGGAGGTGGGGGAGGGTGGGGGTTGTTGTGTGGGTGAAATTGGCCTGTTAGGGGTCTGGGTGGGGCCAAGTGCAGTGAGGCGTTGAGGAACTGTTTGAATTTGCAAAAACGAGTGTGTTTTTGCAATTCCCCATCTGTACGGAGAAGTTACTGCGAAACATTTCCTGCGTTATCGTGCTTTTGGAAGTCTATGTTTAGGGTATTTGAGGGGGGTTGCTTGTATCTGCTTTTGGTGGGGTGGGTCGTGGGGTGGGGTGGGGTGGGGTGGGTGGTGGGGTGACGTGGGGTGGGGTGGGTGATGGGGTGGGGTGGGGTGGCTTGCAAAAAGGCCTGCTTAGAACCAAGCGTCTCGGGCTTGAACGGGCAACGGTGGATGAAAGCAACCACAAACCCTGGTTGAATTTACAGGGTTTCCCGAAAGCCATTTTTTTTACAGGGTTTCCCACAAGCCGTGGTTGAATTTACAGGGTTTCCAACTTCTTCCCTGACAATATGGCCATGGGTTAAAATCTCGCACCCCCAGTGAACATCCCAATCTCCACTCAAATGGGCTCTAAAATGAGGTTTTTGCACCTGCCCCAAAATGGGATCCCAAAACGGTTTTGACCACCACCACAGCCATAGTGTTCCTTTCCAAACAGCCATAGGAATTTTGCAGGGTTTCCCACAGGCCCTGGTTGAATTTACAGGGTTTCAATCTTCTTCCCTGGCAATGTTGTTCCTCGGCGCTGTGGGAAATGACCACTTCTGTGATACAACAATAAGGGCTTCCCAAACACCAACCCCCCACACAATGGGGGAGATTCCCTTGTATCACAGAAGTGGGGTAAAAAACCCTTGATCCCACCACCCCAAAACGGGATCCCAAAACGGTTTTGACCACCACGGCCACATGGCAGTTTCTGGGGTAAGTGGGGTTGATAGATTGGGTTTGTTCCCTGACCAGGTTTTTCCTTTTGCGCCTACCCCATGGTATCCCAAAACGGTTTTGACCACCGCCGGCTGTGGCTCAGAGGACAGCTGCACCATCTTTCTGGGCACGCGGCGCATCGCCTTCGAGCTCTTGCCCCCGGGGCGCCCGGAGATGATCGCCGTGCGCCGCCTCGCCGGCACCGAGGCAAGCGGGGCTTCCGTGGTTATTTTCGGGGGCCAAAGCTTTACCAGCTTCCATTTGGTGAAATTTGTATTTTTGTTTTCCCCCTGTTAGTTTTAAACGGAATCTATCACAACTGGAAGTATTTATATTTTTCGATTGGGCTTAAGCAAATGGAAGCTTGGTGCAACGTTTTACCTGGGCCCCTTAAAGGATACCGGAGAAAAAAAAACACATGTGTTCCGTGTCGATTTATTAAGGGTGCTGCCTGCAGGGTTCCGTTGGGCGATTCAAAGTCGGCATCGGTGCCCCAAAGCGAGGGTCGGTCTTTTTTTTCAGGGTGCCCCTTCTTGGTGGTTTGAAGGGAAACCACAAGGACACCACCCCCCCCCATTCTTTTGGGATCCAATAAAGGCGACACACCCATGATAATGTTTCCATGTTGATGTCCGCCAACCAGATTCTGAAGGTCCCATATTTCCCTATGGTTGATGTGTCTCTCGGTCTTCCTTAAGGAGCGGATCCCAAGACGGTGTCGCGTGATTCGCGGCTGAGAAGCGAGAAGTTTCGTCCAGGATGCGCCGGATGACCTGCAACTGCCCTTGGACCTCGCCAAGCAGGTGGTGAACCTCGTCCATGCGCCTTGGCCGCGTGTTTGCGGCGAGTCGCCATGGTCTAGCTTTGCTAGGTCCCCCAGCTCGGTGCCATTTCTCCTCTTTTTTTGGGGGGGAGGGTTCCCCTACTGAAATAGACTACAAGAAAAAGTTGGTACCCTTATTCTAACCTCTCTACTACAGGACCTAGTTTGCAAGGGAAACCAAGAGGACACCACCCAGTTTAGGGAGTGCCCTATGCTGAAGGCAATGGACCCCATCGTTTCGTTGGCAGGTACCGGGGATGCAATGTATGCAGGGTGGGGGGTGCCCCCCTCGTGTTTTCCCCGTTAGGGGTGGAGATCTTAGGCAGCGCGGTTTCTCCTTGTGAGTTTATTACAGATGTTGCCAGAAGTGGATTTTGGTGTCAATTTGCCCAGCATTAATGTGAACAGCATCCACAACTCCCGACAAGGCCGTTTTTGTCGATGGTAGTACCCAGCTTTCTGAGGATTACAGTTGGGGACACCTAAATCTCAACCCCTTCTTAGCCAAAGGATCCCTTTTGGCTGGTTAAAGGGAAACAAAGAGGACACCGTTATATCATTGTAGGAAATGTACAACTATTTTGAGAACTTCCAAGGTCCCCCACCATTCTAGTAGGTGGGGCTACGTAGACCTGGCTTAATTGGGAGCACCACAAAGCTTATACATGGGTGTGTCTTCTGTTTTGTGGGATCCCTTTGGCTTCGTATGGGAAACAGTCGGGCTAGGGTTTCTGAGGCCCTTTCAACGGGTGATTCACAGGCCCAAACTTGATCGAACGTGAGCTCGGGTGAAAAGGGACATGTGCGCTGCCCATTTTGATGGGCCGGGCTGGGGCCGGGGGTGGCGGGGATGAAGGGGGCTATCCCGTAGCCTAGGGTAAGCCAAGGATAAGCCCCTAGCAAGGCCTTATGAAGGCTTTAAAAGGAAAATAGCCCCCCTCAACATAGCCCATCTAGGAGGTCCAGACAATATGTTTGGGAATAGTCTGATCCGATCAGGAAAGCACCTCGGAGTGGCTGCCGCACCTGTCCTTCACTGCAGGAGAGATTCATTGCACCCTTCAGTTTGCTGCTTCGATGCATAATTTTCGGGAATCACTCCAAACTGGACCACCCCCTTGTGGGTTTCTTTCAGAGATATCCATTGATTCTCAACACCCCTGTCGACTCCTCATGGGATTAAGTGGCAAAATTGCGGAATGTACCATAGGAGGTATGATTCCCTGGTTCAACGGGAAACCAAACGGACAATCCACCAGTTTGGGAGTTCCCCTTTATTGAGCCCCCGCATGGTGTGAGTTAGTGGAGGGGAGGGTAAGTACCCGGGGCCCTGCAAGCAGCCATTCTTGGAGGAGTCCTGTGTCCGCACTGCCACCACTCCGGCACCCCTCACGTCATCGACGTGTCGGAGCTGTCGGAGGTTCGGGCGCCAGACTTCTTGTGATCGCGGTCCGGGCTCTTAGGATGGCCAAAAGGGGAGTCTCCAGGGGTCCTGGGTGTAGATGGCGCTCAGGCTCCCCATTCTTGTCTCATCCCCTCTTTAGGACATAAAGGGAATGGCGCCATCTACTTTGATCCTGGTTTGTTTGATGTCAAAGAAATTAATTATATTACCCTCCCGGCTGACTTAGAGAATCAATCAGGTGTTTTGTCATCCGTTCAGGAATCATGTTGATGGGGTGTTTAAACATCATTAGTGGGGCATTCAATGTCCCTTTGGATGATTTGCAAGTGGGACGCAATTGCAAGGACCCCTGCCGTGGGCTGTTGAATGGCATCCCAGTGTCGTTATTCCCCATGAAAATCCTTTGGTGGGGCTGGGGGTGAAGCCAAGTTGTTCAGCCAAGTTGTTTTGGGTTGTCCAAACATGGTCATCGTCTTTCCAGTGGTTGATTCCCCATTCTTTTCAACCATCGTTCTTTCCAAAAACCGGCCGTTTTCCCTGGGTTTCCGGAGGTTTTCTAGAAAGAAGGATCAGTGGAAAGAATGGAAATGGAAGGTACCGCTAGAGTTTCGGGTTTTTTCAAAAGAACAAGGCCGATGCATTTGCTTTCCGATTTCCATTTGTTAACCCCACGGGGCTGAAGCGAGGTGGTGGTCTGCAAGAACACCCACGAGCCCGTCGCGCTTGAGAAGGCCGGGGACCCGGCACTTGTGGCCACAGCCGGAGGAGTCGTTCCTTTGAGCGCCTGGGGGTCAAAGTCAGAAGTGGCTTAGTAACTCCCAGCCATCCGGTTCCTTAGCATTTTTGCTTTTTAGCGTTTAGCTGTTTGATTTCCGTTGAACCCACCAAAAGTGAAACTTTTGGCGGAAGATCTGAGGAGAGCCCAGGTGGGTGGTTTCCTTCGGTAGACCAATGGGGCCAGTTGACTCAAAGGGTGTGGCTACGTTAAGGCGAATCTACGTTGGCTGGCCCCCCAAAAAACGAAAGGTAAGAGACAATCCATCTGGGGCAGCCCTCACCCCCTCACCCCTTGAGGTAGGGGGGGATCTCTTAGACAAGAGCCACTGCTGGTGGGTTCATAAAGGGGATCCCCAGCTTCATTCTCAAAACCCTTGATGATCCAGCAACATGCATAGCGAACTCCCAGGTGATTCTCAACCGAGAGCCGGCAATGTATGTACATAGGGGACCCCCCCCCCCCCCCAACATGGTGGTGCTCTCGTCGACTTGCTTTCCCCCCCGCCCCCCCCCCCGCAAAAAAGAAGAAGAGAAAGAACAAATCACGGACATGCAATTTACACAACACATAGCCTCAAAAGGGTCAAAAATAGGTACTCCAAATGGAACCCTGGTAAATGGAAAGAAGGACTAAAGCATGCGGTTGCCTGGTGGTTTTATTTGGACCCATACCTATGTACAACTGGTAGTTTGTTAAGGATTCCCTGCCCCAGCCCGGCCCATAAGGAACCCGCGGGCCGGGCTTGGACGAAAAATCCTTATCCAAACGCATCCACCAACATCCGTCGAGTGACGGGGTGACGGATGGATCCCTACCCCAAGTAAAAGTATGAGTCGCTCCCCAGGTTCATACATATTTTTTGGTTTACCATGTGACAAACAGATAGGTGAATTCTTTGTCCAATCTAGTGAGGAAGTGAGTTGTGTTGATCACACCCGCATGCCCTGGTTCTTGATGAAACTAAATGGTGTTGTCTCAGAATAGGGGAACGCCTCTTTTTGCGCGGTTTCCCCTGCAGATTCCATTCAACACCAGCCCAGTAACGTGTATTCTGCCAGTACAGATGCATTCAAATGGGTGTGTCTTTTCTTGGGGCACCCGCAAAATGGAGCTTTTCCGCTTGGTTTCCCTTCAAAACCAACCAAGACGGGTCTCCCTTAAAAACAAACAGCTTTATCCGAGTAAGAGGTCTGACTCTGAGGGGTTCTTGGTGAACATCGGCGTTTTTTCGCTCAGGCCGGCTGGGCCTTCCAATGGCGGCAGGAGGCTCTGCAAGAGGCGGGCGGGGGTGGGGTGGGGTGGGGTGGGGTGGGGTGGGGTGGGGTGGGGTGGGGTGGGGTGGGGTGGGGTGGGGTGGGGTGGGGTGGGGTGGGGTGGGGTGGGGTGGGGGTGGGGGTGGGGGTGGGGGTGGGGGTGGGGTTAGGGTTAGGGGTGGGGTGGGGTTAGGGGTGGGGGTGGGGGTGGGGGTGGGGGTGGCGTGGGGTGGGTGGGTGGCATGCGTCTGAACTTCACTGTCCGGAGAACCCTGCAAATGTGGGTTTATGAGGCTCCCCCAAACAAATTTGGAATCAACAGCGACAACCAGTGCCTTTCTCAAGCTTTTGTTTTTTACAGGCTTAGTATTGGCCTGTCATGGTTTAGTATTGCTTTGTGTGCTGCTTTCACACTATGTAGCTTAGTATTGCTGTGTAGTGGTTTAGTTTTGGTTTATTTTTGTTTTTTCGGCCTGCAAAAGAGTTGCACAATTGGGCACTCCTTTTTTCACTTCTATGACTGAGTACGTGTTGCGGGCACGTAATACCCAGTAGCCACTAGGACATGTGTATTCTGAGCACTTTTGTATAAAGGAGATGTAAGGAAATCAGCGTTTTGGGGATGGGTGTTGCTTGCAGAGATATTCTGACTTTTTCAGTACTCAAAAAAAAGAACTAGTGGACACCCCTTGTTCATTTTTAGTATTGGGTGTTTGGGGAGGGCCATGTGCCACCCCTTGGCAATTTGTCGGCTGAGGAGCCGAAACAATTATTGTATTAGTTTCATTGTAGATAATAATTCCTGTACCCTTTGATTAATCGGGTACCCACATTAACGGGAACCCTGGATTCTCTTGTAGTGGGGGTCCGGATTGTTTTTGTGGGTGACCCCCCCTAGCAGGACAGGCTTTAATTTCTCCGGGGTTCACATGAACAAAAATGCCCCATAGATCTTGGCTTAAGGAGAGGGTTCAGCCAGCTCGAAGATGGGATCAGTGGGAAAATCTGTGACATCGGACCACCCATACCGGCTTCGGCTTTCTAAAACATGAATGCTTTGGCCCCCGAAGCAAAGATGGCCAAGGCAAAAGCCGCCAAAGGCCCAAGGCCATGAAGACGGTTTCCTTGTGGACGCCTTGTCGCATAGAGAGGATTCATAAACGGCACAGACTGCTACCAACACTCGAGGGGTTGGAAGCCCAAGTCTGGCTTCGTTCTCCAAATTCTATTACCCGCCTCATCTCCGAACAGAGTGAAAGTGGCTCTTGCGACGATGCCGAAGAAGTTTGACCTCTCGGGATTTGGGATGGGGGACAACTGGCATTAGTTTGCCTGGTTTTGCGAGGGGGAAGGGGTCGGACTCGTTTGCCTAGTTTGGTTGAACCGAAATAGCTTTTCAATTTGGGTTGAGGTTTGGATGTCGCCGGAAAAGAGCATCCACATTTCGCAAGGGGGCCGCATATTCCCGATTTGTTAATTCGAAAGGTGTTCGCTGAAATTGTGCAAAGTGTTTCGAACATATATATATATATGTATAACTATATATATATATACATATATATAGTGAACCCTGGTTTTGGGTTGCTTGGGGTCTCCTTGGCCAAAGCCATGATGTCATCTTCACACGGGCGAATTTCGATCGCGCGGCCGGCCGCACGATCGGTGCCGTCAGGATGCCGTGCCGCCGGCCTTGTCACAAGAAGCTTGCCAAGAAGCCTTCGCCGTTTTTTTGGATCAAGCGTGTTCGATATGTTACTTGTTCAGGCTGTAGGTGTACTGTTCTTCGGGTTTTAATTTCGGTTTCTTTCGGTTTAGGCTTGGGGCTAGGGTGTTTCGCATGTTTCTTGGTTCGGGCTGTGTGCTGTTCTTCAAATTGGTTGGTCCCGGTTCAGTGTTTGGTGGCACCCTCGCGTGCATTGTTCATTGCTTTTTGTGTTTGTATGTGCCCTTGTGACTTGAATCTGGGTATGTGTCCATACGCCTTGAATTCGTGCATATGTTTGTGTTCAATGGTGTTGTTACTGTGTCTAGTCGGCAGTGTCCGTTATGTTGACTTGCGCTTGCAAGGGATGCAAAAGACGGCGGGCAAGCCCCACATATTGTTCCTGGGGCCAAGGATTGGTGCAGAACCAATGCCACAGGTCTGGGGAGCAGTTTGTGGCGCTACAGTAGTTTCCGCAAATTTTGCGAGCTCTCCTGGAGGTGTGTTGCGAGCTAACCATGATGATGGTCCTTTACTGGGGTATTCCTTGCTTCAGATTGTTCACCTACTGAAACGTTTGTTTCTTTTGGATTTAGCCTTCTTACCTCCGTATGTTGATGATTCTGGTGTTCGTGCATCTCATCCTCGCAAGCTCGGCTGCACGCACAGTTTAATGTTCATGTTTAGTGCCGGCTGGTTCCCCAATCTGAGATGAATGCTAAGATTAAGCCGGTAGGCTACTAGTCAAAGGAACCCGTAAACTAGATCATTTCCGCACCACGTTTGAGTAGTACGGTCCTCCGGATCAATCCGAAGTTAACATTAACCTTGAAAGCACCTGGCACTTGAGCCAGGAGCAAGGTTGCTAGGAGCGCCATCCCCACTTTTCATCTTGCTCTTCTTATTTGGGTGTACGTTCTTTGAGAGTACCCCTGTTGGGGTAATTTCAAAGGAAACCAAAAATCACAACTTGGGGATCCCCACCTTGAGACAAGCCTACCTGAAGAGTTTTTCTGGCAGGTGTCCTCATTCTGCTTCAAGCATCTCCAAGCCCCAAACGCGTGTACCTTTTGTTGGACGAGTTCATTGCGGACATCTGGTGTTAGTATAAATACAAACAAACGAATTGGAAGCGGCTTATGGGGTACTTTTAAACCAAATTTACTATCATAGGAATTGCTCACGTGAGGGCCACGTTCCGGGATATCATGGGAATTCCCTCCAAACTGAGCAAGATGGTTCCCACTTTGAACATGTTCGAGTTTCGTGTTTGTTTGCGGCGTGTGACCTGAGGTCTACACGCAAGTCATCTCAAGTCAGAAGTTTCTGGGCCAGTCATGAAAAGAGGGTGGTTGTTCACAATGGCCAAGACAAACAAAAAAGCAAGGGTGGTGTTTCACAGGTGCCCGGACAAAATCAGCCACTTTTTGTGTATGTGTGTGTGTGTGCGTGCGCGTTGTTTTTTGCTTGTTGGGGTTGCTTAAAAAAAGGAACGGACTGGAAATCACCCTGGAGTCATTGTCTACCATGAAAATAACGCCTTCCCTTTCTTTACTTTTTTCTGAGACCCTGTTAAGCCTACATGTAAAAATAAAGGGCGCGTTGGCACAACCCAATGCTTTGCCGGGCTCGGTCCGGCTTCCCACCTCGATGCTCCAAGGACCTCGCCCCGGAGAGGCGGCCCTCCCTGCCGGGCATCGAGCGGCGCACCGCGGCTGGGCCTTCAAGCGTTCAGTGGGGGCTTCGTCAAAGCCCGGGGATAGATGAAGGTTGGCTCCATTTTGGGGTGGATGAACATCTATTTGCCACCTATTTCGATGTTCACCAGGGGTACAGGGTTTGGACCTACAGCCATTTAAACCGGGTAGATGAAGGTTAGCCAGAAAGAGTGGCGGAGATCTCCGCCTTAATTCTTGAAGCATGGTTCTGGGACGACCATTTTTGTACCGATCGGTTTTGAGCAAGTGACTCAGGTACCCTCCCACATGGCAGCTGACAGGGGATCCCTGAAGGAAATTTTCATCTTCAGGTACCCCACAGCCCACAGGTGCCATGTTAGTTGGAGGCAGGGTATCCCTGAATTGGTGGGTTGGATTGGTGGGTTGGGGATTTGAACTCCTGGTTTTTGTAATGTGTTTCAAAGATCAGATAGTGTTGACCGGATTAATAAACCCCAGTTTATGCATATGGGGCTGTGTCTGGGTTTAGTGGAGATTCATCAGATACATCCCGGTAGGGCGATTTCCCCATTTACCCTCTAGAACCAGGGGCTTGAATCCCAACTAATGTTGACCCCACACGAAAAGCTGGGGTTGATTAACATGGGTCAACATTACTTGGTGGTGCGGATTGGTGGGGGATTTGAACTCCTGGTTCTTGTAATGTTGACCCCTCCAAAAGTGGTCTGATTCCCCCACATTTCGCCCAAGGACTCCGCCCCACGAATAAACTGGGATTGCTGAATATGGGGTTCACATCAGTTGGTGGTGTGGATTGGCAAGCTTGGAATACCACACTGAAAAAGGCGGCCCAGATTGAGAACCACCCTGAAGGGAGCGTCGCCCAGAGATGTCAAGCTCCCCCCCCCAAAAAAAAGAAAGAACACACAACAAACACACAACAATCCATGATCCATAAGTTGTGTTTTTCAACAAGCAGAGACACAGGAAATAAGCCCCCCTTGAGCTCAAGATGCCCAGAAGAAACCAATTGGTTTGTTGGTAGGACGGTACAGTTTTTTGTTTTTTACTTGCAAATGGGCGTGTCAAATTTGGGGAGCCCGAAAAAGATGTGATTTTCCCTGTAGTAAATCACAACCAAAAGGCGTACCTTCAAAAACACAACCCAATGCAAAACCTCCAATAAGAACTGGAGGGAAAGCCCATCGGCTTTGATTCATTGATCCGAGCACCTTGATTCAGCTTCCCTCTAACGGGGTGGGTTGGTATTTTCCTATCCTCTGAATCTTGTCTAATTTGCATCGCCAACCAAATTGGCCGAGGGTATGCAAAATGGTGCTGCATCATTCAGTCTGCGTTGCCTGTGATTCTGACGTTTGGGCCATGCACAAGCAAGGCCCATGTGAGCAGTTGAAATCATGGGAGAAAGAGGCAATTTCCTCATGCTTAATTTGGGCCGTCCTTTGTGGCTCATGGAGGAACATCCCCCCATAATGTATAAAAGTATTGATCATAATTTTAAAGATGCACACATCAAGGTGTTTTCCTCTTGTTTCAACTGTCGTGGCTACACTTGAGGCTATCACAGCATGTTTATGGACGAAAGGCTCAGCCTTTGGACTGAAGTCTGCGACTAAGGTTCCCATCCCCAGTATGGAGCACAGCCCCTCTTCTCAGTCATTGAAGGCGGCCGCTCGCTTCGTGCAATGGGGCGTGTGTACTCCGAACCGTCTGAGCTAGGGAATTTCGTGAAACATCAGGCTGGTTGCAAGAAATTTGAAGGATTGCAGGGTTAGGTATTTCAGCAACAACAAAAGCTGCCCTGTATTCTTCACCAGCCTTGTCTTGGTTCTCAGCAAGGCGTTTCAGGAATGACCCCTGTGAACCATCCCTTGTGTCTTTCTTTTGGGAAATCCCTAGGTTGATTCCCAAATCCCTTGGCGATGCCCTACCAGCAAGTGTTTGCTGTCAACACGTCCTGATTCGTTGGGGACAGTCCCAACCCGTAAGTGCCGCCCTTTCGATGTGCTTTTTTTTTTGGTAGGCCACTTTGCTACCAGGTTCTCATCCAGCGTCCCAACTACTGCTTCTTGATCAGTGCTTGGGATTTTGGACATGGGAAACAACAGCTTAGTTTGTTGTTTTTGTTTTTGTGTCTTGTTTTGTTTTTTTTGGGGGGGGGGAAGTGTTTTCCTTTTTTGTGTGGGGGGAGGGGATGCCGGGGACTCATCTGTATCCGGCACCGGAGTAACTTAACGCGGTGGGATTTGGCCAGGAAAGCCCAAGACGAGAGGCGGCGGCCCGTGGGCCTGTGCTGCAGATTTGCACTCTGCATGTACTGAGTTTTGGTTTACCCAGAGCTCCTGGCTGTGGCTTTCAATGGAAGACCCGACCTCTCCACTAGACACCCCGGGAATTGGTGGTTGGGACCCGGTCTCAAAACCTGGCTGTTTGAGGGCCCCAAATGAATCGGGATCTGGGTACACACTTCCTGAGTTCATGGACCGCAAACAGGGAGCAATCCGTATGAGATGACCAC